CTTCTGCAATGGAAACAAGATCTTGATGGAGTGCGACTGGTGAGCCTGTGGCTTCAACATTGAATTGGTTTGGAGGAGATATTTTGGATTTCTGCAACAGGCAGGTATGGAAATGGCTACACCAAAAACTGTGACATGAAGGTATTCTATATGTAGATTTATTTTTGTTTTTGTTTTTTTGTTTTTTTTTTTTGGCCGACTATTCTATATGTAGAATGGTAAGAAGAGAAATTGCAAATATACTAGTGTTCTGTTTTACCATGTGAAAGAGAACAAAGAATGAATAGTCAGGGGCAATACATTGGGGAAAAATCAGGCTGTCCTTTCTTATATTGTTAAGTAAGAATTCTCCTCAAGATAAACATGACTTTATAATTGTCCTCCTTTTCCCTTAAGAATATTTCTGGGTAGTGAAGCATTTTTCTTTTCTTAACTAGATGTTAAGTGTTGGGAAGATGACCCGCTTTGTGAAAAATGAAGCAAATTATCCTGCAAATTGTCTGGCCAAGGCTAAATGAAACACAAGGTACACACCAAATCTGTCCTTATTTCATATTTAAACATCTTATTGAAGAAATCTTGGTCCTGTAATTGAGTTAAAGGTTCTACGTTGAGATAAAATGCTTCTAGTTCTTCAATATCAATGATAGATTTTTTTTTTAATTTGGCCTTTAACTATTGTATAAAATTTTAAATTGATTTTTAAATTTAAAAAATCTTTAATTTAATTTTTAAAATTTGTAAATTTGATTTTAAGTTAGTCTTTTCATTAAAAATCAATTGACATATTTATTACTTGACAATAAAAAATTATTATTTAATTATTATGTGTGATGTTAATAACATAATAAGTCAATTATTTTTAAATAAATAAATTAATTTAAAATTAAATTTAAAAATTTTTTATGTTGAATCAAGGATTTTTTTCAAACCATCGAGTTAGTCATCAGGTGAGTTTATCCATCAGCCGGTCAATTTATGAATAATTCCAATGAAAATAATTCATTGACATTATTGTATTAAAGATAAAATGGTGCTCGATTTTCCACACATCAGAGGAGGATATTTACCAGTACTGCCAAAATATTAGCTGGCATTGTAAATGCTTCACGTGGAAAGGACACAGACACGTTAGGCAAATTCCTTCTCTCTTTTCATCCATCTTCTGATTGAAATGTCCTTGCGCCTTTGTCTCATTAAAAAACTACCATGAAATATCAATTATGTAAGGTTCTCAATGAATTGTTCTTTTCTGTCTATCTTTTTACATTTTTTTACATACCTTATTCAAATTTTCTATAGGTTTAGCTATGGCTGATTTTCTATTTTCTTTTTTAACCTAAACCCTAAACATAAAAACCAAAACTGAATTATTCTAATTGAAACGAAACCGAAAACTAGATTTAATTGATTTAGTCATTTTCTTTTCATTAAGACTAAGTAGTGTACACCCTAATATATGTCTATATCACAAATGTGAAGAACATGCTGTTCATAAGTTCAAACGTGATGAGAAAATAACCATCCATAAAGAAACAAAGATGATAACAAAAGAGATATGAATGGAGGTGATTTTGTAGCAAAGTTGATTTCAAGGGTCCCTCTTTGTTTTTATGCATGCCTGACTACTCATGAGCCATTATTATTCTGTGCTTCCCACTAGCCATTTGGATCTTAATGATGATGTGACAATTAAGTCTCGCTCATGGTCAAGTCATGGATTGGGGTGTCCATACATTTTTAGACCACCTTGTTGGGGTCGGGGAATATATTGGATGCATAGAATGTGATGTCTCAATTTAAATTTCTATACATAAAGATTGAGGATATGCATCCAAATTTAACATCTCTGATGACTTTTTTAACTGGTGAACTAAGATTTTGTGGACAACATTGTTAAGGAACAGATCTCATATGGGTTAAAGGTTTTTTTTTTTTTTTTTTTTTGGGGAGCTGCAAATAGGTCAAAGGTTAAATTCAGAGTTCTCTGTGGTCTTACAAGTTGTGACTCTTCATATATTGCTATTTGTGTTTGATTTGGATACACTAATTAGCAACTTCCTCTCTAATTTTAATTTTATAGATCTTATGGGTATGTTTTTTATGCCTGAAAGAGAAACATGAATGCAGACATAGAGGAA